CAGCTCTGCTCTTAATATTTGAACAATTTATTGCCTAATTATTTAAGTTGCCCTTTTGAAGAGATTGTCTGCAGGACACTTCCTGAGAGCAACAGTACAAAAAGTGAGCCCTTGTGAAGTAACACCCTCGTTGCATTAAAAGCAAAATAACCTTTTTATCAAATACTTTGTGACCATTTAGAATATCGAATTTGTATTTTAATCATCGAGTTCAACAGGAATATAGCCAGTGGGAAGGAATTAATTACAAATGATGTCTTTCTCCTGGTTATGCCCGCAATCCCAAGGGATGCTTTAATGAAGCTCTGAGCCCTCAGACAGGAAAGGTCAAATGAATCCCCCATCTCCCATACCTCAAAGTGCATATAGCTGCACCTTTTCCTAGCAGATGTTCAACCAGGTATAATACTAGCCTGAGGCAAAAATTCCAGGAAACAAGAGCTCTTAGCACAGCAGTTCTCTGGAATTCAGTGGATAACAGAGTAACCTCTTTCAGAGTTTGAAGAGGAAATGAGTTTTAGATAATCTCCATTTGAATATGAATGTATGTTTCATTAGGGGTGTAATACTGCCAGGAGGAATACCATTCTACTTGGGAATTTTTTATGTATTAAAGATTCATGATATTATAGATCAAAATTTTTAAAATGTTGGAAATGTTCTTGCTATGTTTATACTGTACACATATTTAAGTTTGTATTAGGTAAAACCTGATTGCCTTTTTTGGTATGTCAACAATGGTGTAATATTGGCATTTCATGTGGTTCAACTTAATACTTAAATTGACTATTTACAATTAGTAAAAGAATGCAAAGTGGCATTTTATAACACCATTTTGACCTATTTTTCCTTCTTGGAAAATACTTTGACATTATGCTAAATAAGACCTTGTCAAAATGTGCTGCTTGCTAGGTGTATGTATGTATGAAACCATTAGCTCGAAGTCTGGGTCTGCTTTTCCAGAATTGGCCTTGGTTTTCAACTTTGATTTTGAGTGCTTTGCATTTCTAGCACTAGCCAAGTAATTTAAGGTAAAACCTGACATGAATTTTAAGCACATAAGTCTTTTTAATTATTAATATGGAAAAAATGTTTGGTTTTTCTTGAAGCTTATAAAAACTGGCCATCCCGCTTTCACCAAATTAAAAAAAACAAACTGAAAAATATGCAATGGAAGATATTTGGTTCCACACGATTGCTAATGTTAATAATTAGAGGGAAACTCCTTGTACGGAATTATTTTTTTGACATGGTTGCACAATATGTGTGTGAACCTTTGCTTGGAAAGATATTTGTGGCTTACAAAAACCCATTGCCGTAATAGCGACCCTATAGGATAGAGTAGAACTGCTCCATAGCGTTTCCAAGGAGCGGCTGGTGGATTTGAACTGCCAACCCTTTGGTTAGCTGCTGAGCTCTTAACCACTTTGGCTTCTTATGAAATCTATTGTTTTTTCCTTCTTTTTTTTAAATTATAGCCATCCTTGAGAGTGTGAAGTGGTATCTCACTGTGGTTTTGATTTGCATTTCCCTGAGGCTAATGACGTTGAGTATCTTTCCTTTTGTTTATTGACCATTTGTTTGTCTTCCTTGGAGAAAGGTCTATTCAAATCCTTCACTTATTTTTTCTTTTTTTCTTTTCTTCATGTGAATGTCTCCCTAAAAGATTCTCACTCTTCTTTTTTTTTTTTCCAGATTGTCTTAGCTATTGTCTTTATACTTCAGGGCCCAGTTGATGTGTCTTTATGAGTCTTTGTGAGTCCAGCTCCAGCTGAGTCACATTGTTTATGCTCAGGGACTGGGAATAATGGATCCAATATTATCTCCTAAATCACTCTTTTCTTTTGATCAGAGATTGGAGTATATACCTATAGTTTAACAACTTTCACTTTTGTGCTGGGCAACATTTTGTTCTGTTACAACGTAACATTGCTATGAGTTGGAGTATACAGCACCTAACAACAACAACAAATACCTTTATTAAATATTTAAGGTCATGAAAATAGAGTCATATTTTAAATTTACTTACATGATTTGATTTTTTTATCATAGTTTATTAGAATGCCTGTACCCTGATGTAAAATTTAAAATGACCAATTGAACTCATGCATACCTTTATAAAGCACCATTAACTGAACACTGATTAACTAAACAAGAAAATCTTTTTTAAAAGACTCTTACAGCTAATTCCAACATAAATTTAAGTAATTAGAAAACAATGGAACCCACAAATGATGGATATGTATGTAATGTCAATTAAATTAAGTCTGAAAACACTTAAAGTACATACTATTGACAGGTCAAATTCTTGCCATTAAAAATACTGCGACTCTTAATGGACTAGTAAGTAGGCATCTGTGAAGAGGAGGTGGGAGGTGGGGTTGGGGAAGGACTGACAGGATAAGTCTTGTCAGGAGCAGCAGAGATAAGCAGCTGTCATTATTTCTGGAAGCCTATCTCAATTTCAGGGGTTATACCTGGAAAAAAAAAAAAAAACGAATGTAACTCACTGGGGTGTGACTACCTTGCAAAACAGATTGTCTTGGTCGGCTACTAAACAATTCTGAAGAGAATGCATTAAAAATATGTTTTGAATTTTTGCCACTGCTGGAATAATTATAGAGAACAGACTACAAAATAAGGGAACAAGTGCCTTCCACAGGCGGGCTGATCTGATGTACTCTGCAAGCAGTCCCCAGAACTTCAGTTTTTAAGCTGAGGAAACAAAAATCAGCATTTAAAGGATCTTTGTATAATTTGATAGCCGCGTATCACCAGCCTTACCATCTTTATGGCGCTTTAGTATAAAATTTGCTCTATATTTGCTTTTAAGTTTAATTTCTTGTAGTTCCTTAAAATACATACCACCCTGAGCATTTACAAGAAACAGCATAAAAACTTTTTTCATAGTTGAAAAGCAGAGATGTATCTTATTTTTATTGGCAGTTAATGTGGGGCCTATGTAACAGCTGTCTCAATAGCCACTAAATTAATGGCATAAAATTGCAAAACTTTTCGCCGTCTGTTCCCTGTGTGGAGAAACAGAAAAAAAAAAAAAAAACGTGAAGAAAGGCGCCTTGCCTGGGAATTGGAATTCCAAAAAATAGATGTTGAATTGCCTGTTGGAGGATTCATTTTTAATAATTTCATTTAAAATATAACTGTCTTCATTGAATGAGGGGTTGTGAGTGCTTGGTTTGTCTTTGGAATACAATTTTTCCTGAAGATGCATGTGCTACTTTACCAAAGGCGCTAATGGCAAGGGCGAGCCTTGTAGCAAGAAAGGGTGAAATACATCAGGGTAAGGCGGGAAGAAGCGTTTTTTGTTTTTTCCTTGAGATCTCTTTCCCGCCTCTCCCCAGAGCCAGAGGAAGCCGCGGTGGCGGCGGTTTAGGCTTTATATCTAAGACAATAGCGCCGCTCGCCGCCACCCGCGCTGCTCAGAGCGCGCGCCCCTTCCCCACTGGAGCCTCTGCCTGATGGGTCCTCCTGCCACACCAATCCTCCTGCTCCACACGTTCTCCTGCCTCACCGGAGACTCTGCCCAACAGTCCCTTTACCCCACCTGCCCCCCTGCCACATCGGAGCCCTACCCCACGGGTCCCCCTGTCCCACGAGTCCCCTCCCCACCTGCACCCCTACCACTTTAGTTCTTCCTCCTGTCTCACTAGCTCATCTGTTCCACGAATTTCCCTTGCCCTACCAGTCTCCTGCCTGTCTGGCTCTCTGACCCTTCAGTTCTCCTGCCCCACCCGCGCCCCTGCCGGAGCCGCGGCGACTGCGGCAGTGACGAGCCAACAGTCTTGCCTGCGCCTCCCAGGGCCGGCGGGCGAGAACCGGGAAAGCTGCTGCGAGTCCTTGGAAGCATCCCAGTGCCCTGCGACCACTGTGCCCTGCACCCCCGGCTCTCAGGCAGGCCTGCCATAGTCTGGCCTTCTCCCTGGCTGTGGGCCCCTCAGGCTTGTTTGCTTGTCCTCAGTCCCCGAGCCAGCCCCGCTCCCTCCTCCCGGCTGCTTCAACAGCCGTTAGCTTCCTGCGGTGTGTTTCTTTTTTCCCCTCCTAAGGCTCCATCAAAGGTGGCTCTGTTATTGAAATATGAAGCCATTTCCTCTCCAAAATCCTTGGTTACTCAAGGCTGGAATCAATGGACCTATATGCTTTCCCCGGAATTATAAATAAATGTCTATTTGTTCAGGAGGCGTTTTACCGCGTATCCCAGCATCTTCCTCAGTGGTCATTTTAGGGGTGTGCGTGTGTGTGTGTGTGTGTGTGTGTGTGTGTGTGTGTGTGTGTGTATGTGCTCCCGCGCGAGCGCGCGCGCTAGTGTGCCCGCGCGCGCCCTTTGCCCATCTGGTTCTAATCCTGGGTATGGATCCATAACCCAACCCCACCCATCTCTTCTCCCCCTCGCATTCCTCACTCTATAAATAAATCCAGGTTCTTTGAGGTCTGTCTCACAGGGATACAATAGCAGTTGTTTGTTAAGGGAGATTTAAACCTAATACTGATACTCAATCCAGTAAACAGGGAAAATAGGCTTCTGGCAGTTTGGGTGGGAGGGCATCTCCAATTTTGGAAACTTTATCTGTTGTCATAATTGTCTCTCTACCTTGTTATCCTCAATCTACTTATGGGCTGAGGGGAAGGCGGGAAAGAGAGGACCTCTTCTACCCTTGATTTTCGTTTTAAGTACAGGCTTAAAAAAAAAAAAGAAACTAGAAGATTGTCCTAGAGAGCGTGCCTCACACCGCTGCCCCACATACCATCCCACTGAACCCCTTTCCCCACCCACTCTGAACAGACTTAAAGAGTAGTGAGGGTGCAGGAGGTATGGTGCGGGTGGAGGGCTTGTGGTTGCAGCTGCCGATTTTCCTGAACCCCAGAGCGGGACACTCGGGGATCTGAGCAGAGAGGAAAGTCATCTAAGAGGCTGCTGTTTTACAAGGTCTGGGCACAGCGCTGCCCCTCCCTTCCTCCCTGAAGTTTGCATGAAGGACACGTTAGACTGTAATTAGGGAATCTGGTAGAACTTTCTTGGTGACGCTTGGCTTTTCTTCTGCTTTTGGAGAGAAAGTGCCTCCTTCTTCCCAGGATCAGGACCTCTGCCATCCAGAGCCGCAAAGAGACATTCTGCACACGCACACGCACACACACACTCACACACGCGCACACACACTCGCCCAGAGACAAACTTAAGGTGAGGGGAAAAAGCGCTAGCTTCACTTGATCTCCAGGTTCCAACATCAGCAGGACTCGAGAGCATCTGAGCTTCTGGATTTCAGGACAAGGTAAAACTTTCATAATTTTGTTTTCCTCTTTGGGTCAAACTTTGGTGCCATGAAGACTTCAGAAAACAATACGTATCATAATATATGTATACATTATTTTTTTTTTCTTGTTCTTTAATTTTTATTTGGGTTTAACATGACATCACAACATTTTTCTTTTAATTTTTAAGGTTCATTTTGTCAGATAAAGTACTGCATTGCAATAAACAGGCTTAGTCTAAATTTGTGAAAATCACTCTAGCATCCAGGCTTTTTGCTAGTACTGCTATAAATCTGGTAGGTTCCTCGTTTCCAAGTGGTGACTTTTCCACCCGTATTTCAGCAACCATTTTTACAGCACCTGAGATCAAAAAGAATAGTATAGGCTGAAGGAAGAGCTGAGGAGTGGGAATGTCCAGGCCAGATTTATGAGTTTTGTTTTAGGGGATATATACATTTATGTGGAAAAAAGGTTACTGTCATTGTAGATAATACCTGCTAGATTAACAATCTTTGAGATGTTACAATTTTTGGTCCAGGTTTCTCCAGCTAATTATGAATTAAAACCATAGAGTTATGAGGTATTTCTATGTGTGATGATATGGATGAATAATTTTCAGGTGCTGAAAATTTGTTCAAAGTCGTAGCTGTTAAGATTACCTTTAAACATGGCTTGAAGGAATTATTTATGTGTTGAAACTGTTCACCACCAAAAGCAAACCTCAAGTCTTTTGGGCTTAGATGGAAGTTGCTTTCTTTCATTGAATATAACTGTTGTGTTCAAAATAAGATGTTTTATTATTTTGAAAAGAAGTTGTTTTATTTTCATTTATCACTGGAAAAATACACAAAGTGGCCAGTACATTTGGGAATTTTTAGGGTGGAAAGTGTTCCTGTACATGTTCCAGTGTGATGTCATAAAATCAAACATACTGGCTGGCTTCTTGGAAGCTAACGGTTCTTAAGAAATGAAGCCTGTGAATTAATTTCTAAGTGAAATATAATATTTATTCTTTACAAATGTGGTTTCTGGTAACCATTTCTATCTGATTATTTCAGTGTACTAAATTCACAGCAATTGTATACACACTCCAGTGACTTCAGTATTTTAATGGAATCATAAAATGAGCATATTGTTCTACCAAAAACATATCACAGTAATTCTCTTTGGATAACTTTTAGTGTGATATTTCATAATCCTCACATGAGTTATTGACTTTAGTTTTATTTATTCAAATAAAAGCAGTTTTTTCCTTCCATTCAGTGAAATACAATGTACACTAAAGAAGGATTGAGCATTTATAAATCTCAGACCAGTTTGGTACTATCTGTTCTTAATAATTTAATTTTTTCAGCAAAGAGAATGAGTTTACACATTTGGGTAATCTCTTCACTAAATTGGAAACAGTTAAAAAATAGGAAAACTAGGTAAAGAGAGGTAATTTTGCTTAAAGCTAAGTGAGCAAGAGAAAACCAATAACTTCAAGAGATCACTGGGCCACAGGGGGAAAGTACCCAGAGGCTGGTCCTCCTCACAGGAGTGCCCCCTAAACCTGAGCTTTCTATAAGGGACAAGAAAGAGAGGAACACTGTGTTCTTATAAAGTGAGCCATTTATTTTCAGCAAACCCCTGTCTCTCAGAGAATGACTGACACTGTAATTTAGAAGCACTGAAGAGACTTTCACAGAGAAGAATCAATTCATTATATCTCTAGTGGTTTCACTTCCTTTCCTTCCTTTGGGAGCAAGTAACATATCCAGGATAAATAGGCTCAGAGTATGCAGAAGATACTTTATGAGTAAATGGTCTACTAAACAGTCTTGTCTTTTAGATTCTTGGGTGTGGAATGTTGGTATTTGCTGAGCAGTTGAAGAAGCCTTTAGAATTTTAAGGTAGAACTACACTTCATCTTTGTTAAAATGAACAAGAGTCATATTCAGAAAACTATCTTCTTCAGAAAAGAGTAGTTTTTATTTCCTTTTGCCTATGCGTGCTTTATTTTCCATATTACATTTTTAAGATAATGGTATTCCATCCATTAAAATTTCAACCAGATGCAAAGCAAATTTGAAAATCACTTTTATATGATGATCTTCTGTTGCATCTAATAAATTTTTTGACACCCTGCCTCCATTATTAGTAACCAAAGTACTCAGTCTATGTCATCTAATAGACTTAGCCTGTCATTTAAAGGTAACAAAATGTACTTGGGAGAATGTGGGGAGGGGTAAGGACTTGAATATACTTAGGATTTTAATCAATAATGTTTAAGGAGGATTAGAGGAAACAGCTGGTTAAACAAATATTAGGAGTAGAGTGGACGACGCAATGGTATAAATTAATAATGCAGCTCTTTATTTACTCTGTGAATGGGAGAGTGTGTGGTAGTTTAATGTGTGAAGCACGGTCCCTGTGTGCCACCTAGTGGATGAGTCAAAAAAGGGTTTCTCACCAGCCTCTCATTAAAAAACTCTGAGCCTTCATTCAATTGACATTTTTTGAACACTAATTATATTCCAGACATTGTGGTAGGTGCTCAGAGTAGAAAATGCAGCAAGTGACTTTTATATAATTTAAAAATCAAAGCACCACTTATAGGTTTATGAAATATCCGATGCATTTAAAATCAGTTTGCTGTTGAGTTCTGTGGTTTACACTGAGCTTTCTGTTTCTGAGGATACAGTTTAATAATCACACCTCGCTGTTAATACAGGATTCATTTTTTTTTTACAGCGATGTCTTGATGTAGTTCAAGGAAGAATGAGGAGAGTTTGGCCATCTTGAATCACTGTTTCCAAAATTGAAATAAATTTTTGTAGAGCTTATTGTTACTGATTTTAAATGGATATTACTAGCTTTAAAGCTTAGCAAACAGCTGTTAGCACATATTAGTACATATTCTTTAGATTTCTTTTTATTATTAAATGGAAAAGAATAGTAGTAAAGACTGCTTTTTGCTCTTGGCTGCTAATCAAAATGTTGGTGATGAGTTCACCCAGTGGTGACTCAGAAGAAAGACCTGGCAATCTACTTCCAAAAAATCAGCCATTGAAAATGCTTTGGAGCACAGTTCTACTCTGACACACATAGGGTTGCCATGAGTTGACGTTGACTTGACAACAACTGGTTTAGTAAGGTATATTTTACAAAATATTGCTCTTCAACACTAATAATTAGCATTAGAACAATATCTTCTATAGCTATCATTCGTATGCAGTTTTGAAGCAGGAAACTTGCTTCCATTAAATTGACATAATAGAAAAAATCCTAGACAAGAAGAATTACATGGAAGATCAGTGTATGAAAGAAGTATTAAGGTATCATAGAAGATCATTTATCTGAATATTGCACTGGGAGTTTTGAAAAGCTTTTCTCTAAGATATATGAATTGTTACGCCAATTGGCTCTTTACAAGATATATGACTTAATGGCAACAGTGTTAGCAAATCTGTGTTAATCAAGACAAGTTCTGAAAATTAGATCATAGGGGGAAAAAAAGATGAATTTGTTACTTGCTGAGCTCTAGGGGTGTAATCCACACATCAAGTTAAGCCTGCTGGTTTGAAATGGACGTCTCCTATTTAGGGGACTCTGGTTTTGTGTGTGGCAGTGAGATCTACACTGTGAAAGACCTACATTGTGAAAGCTGCCCACTATGTCCCTTTTCATTAATGCCACAAAATTACAACTCGTATTGATCAGAGGTAATAGCTGGCATCAACACCATCAATCATGTAAAATACGCATATTATCTTAATTCTTATTTCAAATAGGTCATTATCCACTAGAAACAAGCCGTTCTGTTAACAATTTCTTCTGATCATTGGGTCACATACTCATTCTAGTGAGAAATTACCTAAAAATCAGAGGTCCTAAAAGTAGATATTTAGTCATGAATTGGAAAACTTTGTTTCTAAAAGCTTTGATGGTTTCAAGTAATTTAATGATACTAGAACTCCACAGAAAGAACTAGTTAAACTGTCTGAAATGGTCTGATACTCGTTGGTTCTTGGTTTTATTGTCATAGTTCCACATGACAGCTTCTCCCAGTTGTGTACACATGGAGGAGATTGCTGGTATTGAAGAGTTTTGGCTATGTTTCTCAGATAATTCCAGGATTTGTTTTACATATCATGTGTTGCTGGACTATATTGAGCTTCTACTCATTGTTTTATAGCTTAACAGGGTGACATCTGAGATGAGGGTATCACTAGAAGGCCAGGAGGATATTCACCAAAAAAATTTCACAGACTAAGGTAGAGGGTCAGCGAAAAAGAGGAAGACCCTCAACGCAATGGATTGACACAGTGGCTGCAACAATGGGCTCAAACATAGCAACGATCGTGAGGATGGTGCAGGACTGGGCAGTGTTTCGTTCTGTTGTACATAGGGTCCCTGTGAGTCGGAACCAACTTGACGGCACCTAACAAGAACATCAAAAATAATTTAGAGCATTTACTCAAGTTCAAGGGCTGGTTCTCTGTCTTGTAAAGGTAACAGAAATGTCCACTTCTGTTTAACCTAACTTCATTCAAAGGGGGGCACAATTTATTTGATTGGTTACTAAATTCTAATCACAGTGAATAATACCCAATTAAATTAAACAATATTTCAAATTATTATTATGGTAAATCAGGGTCTTCCTAAAACTTTCACAAAGTTTAATGAATAATGCCTTGGCTAATTTTCATCCATACTGTGTCAATTTTTCTCATTTGGATTCTCTTATTTTGAATTTTGGGGGATCACCTAATTTGATTATTCATTTGTACATCAACAAAAATCCATTGGACATCTGCTATTTGCCAGACACCATGCTAGCACTATGTACTGGCCCCTTCACTGTATACCATGGAAATCCATTCTAAAAAAATCAGAAAGTCAGCCCAGTGAAAATGAACCTAAAATATTGCAAGATCCTGAAGAACACTTTGAAAGACAAAGTCTTAGTATTAAGTGTATTTCAAGCAGGTATCTTTTAAAATCATTTTCCCACGTTTGTCATCTCCTAGCTGGATGG